CACAAAAAGAGGGTGTTGAGAATGATTAATTACAATAATTGTATGTTTAAATTAAAAAAAAAACAAATAAAATGCCAAACTAACTTGATAATGTCTAAAACAAATTTATAACGTTTAAAACAAATTTATAGCATATTTTCTAGGAATTGTAAGGAGATGTCATGAAAAAGTCTATAAGAAACAAGGAAATCATTTAAAAGAGTTAAAATGACAAATATATGCAAAATCAACTGTTTAGTAAAATAAACAAGAAAAATGAAAATAGTATTTTGAAAGTAACATCTAGAAAATGTTAGTGACATTTTAAAAAGCAAATAAACATGAACATGAGATTAAAAGACAGTTAAAATCAATCATATAAAACAGTTTATTAATTATAATGACTATTTGGAGGTAATATATACACACCTATATAATCAGAGCCGGTCCTGAAAAAGTAAATATTATCAAAGGCTCAGGACGAACAAGAAAAAAAGGCCCTTATCTTTATTATAAGTTTTTATTTTTAAATAAAAATATATAATGAAAAAAATTGGGCCCTGTGCAGCTGCCCACTTTGCCCCCCTCAAAGCCCCCCATGTATATAATCACATTTTCATTTTTACCATTAAGCTTACAAATTGCGATATTCATCTATGGTGTGTACATGATTTATGTCTAATATGTATCAAAAATTACCTTCCGAACACATTGCGAGTTTGCTAAGCACATTAAATCTGGTGGTTATATCAAATGATCTATTTTGGTTTCTTTACATTTTTCAATGAAGATATATCAAATGATCTATTTTTATTTTCTTTATATTTTTCAAACAATATGGTTTAAAAAAAACAACAACGATAAAGATGAAGACGGATATACATGAAATATCCCCGATCCAGTTAAGTTGTTAATGTTTGATACATTCAAATAATTACACTTGCAAATGTTTTCATCGTTCATAGAGATTATGTTTAAACAGTTAAAATTGAGATAATTAAGACACCTAAAGGATTCCGCATCCCATTTATCACCATACCCTGCATCCTAATAGTCATATTTGTAATACCCGTAACAGTTGCACAAAATATTCACAGTTTTATCCTTTGGGTTGTATCCAACAATAACGATGAATTTGGTCTTGATTTTTAATTTTGTCATTGTATTATAAATTTTTTCTACAAACAATTAAAGTTTACAAAATGTTAATTGCTATTAGGAGTTTTTGACTTAAATGACTATCGAAGTTACGAAAGCGTATCGTTTTAGCCACTTAAGTTCTGACGAGGTTCAATAAGCCACTTAAGCTCATTCGTGGTTGGATACGGTGTCATTGGTTCGAAGTAAAAATGAGTGTGCTGAGTCGGTTATAATGACCACTTTTTGGGTTTTATGGTCGTTAAGGAATGATGTCGTTTTTGTAGGAAATAAGCACCATAAGTAGTGGATCATGGACATGATCCAAGATTTTTCGTTTAATTGGTTTAAAGGTGGAAATAGAAATTCTACTATTTCATGGGTTAATTGGATGAAAAATCCAATTAACGCCTAATTTTGTATTGTTTTTCTTTAGCTTCTTGCTAGTGTGTGGTTTTTATTATATTGTTGTTCTAAAAAGAGTCAACGAGAACTAAAAACACATATTCACACATTAGACTTGGTTTGGTGATGAAGAAAATCTACAATCAAACTTTAGTTGCTTTTATAGATGAGCTTTATTTGGTTTTTTTACCTAACCCAAAACAAAGAGAATGGATAAGCGAGTAATGGTGTAGGTTGCAACGGTGGTGGTTGTAGTGGCGACAATGCCTTCCTAGGTCAATTTTGGCGAGTAATGTTGGAGGTTGCAGCAGTGGTGGTCACTGGTGGTTGAGTAGTAGTGACGACACCTTCCTAGTCTGATTTCAGCAAGTTAGTGGAGATAAGCATGATTGTGATGGATGAAACAAGAGAGATAGGTACGTTAAGTCCGAGACATGGATAGAAGGTCGCAAGGGCAAGAGAAAGAATTAAAATATATTTTTTGAATTGTTGCGTAGACTCCACATAAGCACAAAAACTAGCTAACCGAGAATAAAAGGATGCAAGGGGAAATTCAACCAAAATTCAAGACCTTAGTGGTTGATTATGCCACGTCAGAACTTAAATGGCTAAATCGATACATTTTCGTGACTTCGATGATCATTTAAGCTGAGAGATGTTCAACAACTACCGATTTTATGTCAGTTTCTAAACCAGATCAAACCAAATAGTTTCTTCAAAGATGTTTTGAACTAGTTAAAAACTGCTTGAACCGGTGTATTGTAATTGATAGTTGGATACTTTGATTTCATTGGTCCGTTAAAAAGAACCCATTTCCAAAGCAAATTGAACAATTCGATCAATCAGGTTATTCGAAATGTACACAACTCGAAGGCCTATAACGCACACCACTACCGAACACAACTTCGACACACCGGTCCAAATGTCGATCTTCTCAACTTGGAAACCTTTTACTAATCAACTCCGATCTTCTCAAATTAGAAACCTTTAGCTTATCAACTGATATGTCTAGAACGTTATAATATAGTTCATTATGATAAGGGTATATGTTTGTGGATGTCAAAATCGTGGTTATATATATATATATATATATATATATATATATATATATATATATATATATATATAGGCTTAGGTTATTCTACTCAAAGTAATTATTGTGTTATTGTATGCATAAATGTGGACCAATCAAATTTACTTATTTTAAAAAAGTGATTAATATATATTATTGAATTAAATATAATTGAAAGTATCATCTTAATTAATTACAAGAGTAATTTAGTCAATTAATATAGATTTAGTAAAGGAAAATTGCATTTTTAAGGGATCATAGATTCTATTAATTTTAAAAATCCGATTTTACGAATTATAATTATTTTAATTCGGACATTCTGACAGAATATGTTTATGAGTATATTCAAAAATAAAAATATTCTTGAACCATAAATAATAAAAATATTCTTGAACCTATTTCTTGATCATGAATTTAAAACTCTTGTAGAATAACAAATTCTTGAACAATCAATTGAAAAATAAAAACAAAAAATACATTATTTCTTATAGAAAACGGGTAACAATTGTTAAGAATTATATTTATTGTTAAAGAATAAAACTAAAAAACAATCAAAACGGGAAAGAAAACATTAAAATCTAACAACGACTAATACATTCTAAAAGAATAATGTGGTTCGTTTCAATTTGTGGTCTGTTCTTCAAACACCAACTTATGTGATTCCAACAGAATTGGAATTCGTCGTTCCATTCCAACAAAATTGGAATTCGTGATTCCATTCCAATAGAATTGGAATCTCACAAATATCATCCATTGAATCATCTACATAAACATACTTGATACCTTTTCAGAATTCAACATTGTCAAGATCCTGCACTGTCCACATAAATGAAGTGTTAAATCAGGAAAAAAAATTGAATGAAAAGCAAATTAATCATTTCCTGTCAAAAGAATCAGAAAAAAGACAAGCTTTGGAGATGATCAAACCTTTGCAACAAGAACTTATGCTCCTTGAATTGACTCCTAGCTTTTACCATAATTTCCATTCGGCTTCTTGAATGCCTTTCAATTTGAGCTTCCACCCATATCAAAGGCTTCACCTGAGTGCTAAGTCGATATGTCCTCAGGTCAAATGCTCCATCAGGAGGCACAAATGATATTGTTCTGGTGGAACTTAATGCCATCCAAGTCAATGAAAATGAAAAACTATATATATATATATATATATATATATATATATATATATATATATATATATATAATATGCGATATAAGATTTAAAAGAAAATGAAAAATTACTGGTGGAACTTAATGTCATCCAAGTCAATGGCTTTTCCCTTTGTAGTTCGTCCTTGTGCCTCCAATATTACTCTATCATTCAGTCCAAGCTTACACTCAGGCATACCAATGTAACAAGAATGAAATAAAGAACCCTAATTTAAAACTCACCTGGAAAATTAAACAAAAAAACACAAATGAAAAACTGAAATCAAGAACCCTAATTTGAACAAAAAAGATGGAGATGGTCGATGAAGTGATTAGTAGTGTTCACAAGGGATATATGGAACCTATAATTGGAGCAATACCAGAAAAAAAACTCTTTCAATCTCTTCTTTTTCGCTCCTGTAGCCGAGATCGACATGGTGTAGGGGCTTCTTAAGCTTGCTTTTTCGTCAAGATAGGAGGGCCGGTGAGGCTTGATCGGAGGCAGCAACCTCCGGTTTCTTCTTTGGTTTTTCCAGCGAACAATAAAGATGACGAGAGAGAGTGTGGGAGCTTCTCCAAAACGTCTATTGAAAGTCGGTAAAAGGGGATGTGTTGTTGGCTTTCTCCAATCTCGCCATCTGGTTGGGACAGAAGGGCGGTGGATACGGTGGTCGGAGGAGCAAGAGGGTAGGGTGGCGGTCGGTGGTGGGAGGCATAAGGATGGAGGTGACGGCTGGAGATGGTTTGATTAGGGTTACGGTGGTTTTAAAAAGCCTGGTAGCTGAAGTCAATGGTTACCATAATTATATGATATTATTTGTGGAAACTAATTATCAAATTACCTATTTACCCTTATTTATTTATTTAATTATTTATTTATATTTTAAATTTTGATTGGCCCACATTTATGCATACAATAACATAATACTTACTTAAAACACCTGAACCTATATATATATATATATATATATATATATATATATATATGATAAAAAATACATAAAAATTATGAAAACCATGTTGAGCCGATGGTCAAATTAAAAACCGTTTACCAGACCGATTCAACTAAAAACGGATTTAAAAAAAAATAATTTTAATAAAGCTCAACCAAATTAAAAATTATGCTCGTCATTTCGTTGTAATTAAATGATACGTAGTTTATATGTAAAAGAAATTTAAAATTTCGACCAAATGTTAAAAACAGATAAATTCGAGGACCACATCCAAACGAATAGCTGAAATAAGTAGTTTAACCACCCCATGGTTCAAAACATTTCAAAGCTGCCCCTCCCTCTCTCCACAGACCTAAAAATATCTCCCGCCGCCGGCAGAAATGAGCGAACCTTGATCAAGGTCGCCGGCGACTCCAGTGGAGCTTCATATAACTTAAATGCTAATTTTCTTTCCAGATCTTTGAATCCCAACATAAAAAATCCGTTAAAATGCCGTTGCAATCGGATCTAGACCGTCAGATCGAGCACTTGATGGACTGTAAGCCGCTACCGGAGTCAGAGGTGAGGACGCTTTGTGATCAGGCGAGGGCTATTTTAGTGGAAGAGTGGAACGTACAACCTGTCAAATGTCCGGTGACTGTGTGTGGAGATATACATGGACAGTTCCACGACTTACTCGAGCTCTTTCGTATAGGCGGCAGTGCTCCTGATACTAATTATCTGTTTATGGGAGACTATGTTGGTTAGTACTGTAATTTTAACAACTAAATGCATTAGATACTGTTGTGTGTGGAGCAGATATTGTTGATTAGTTCAACTTTGATTAGTCATTATGGCTAGTGCAATTTAACTTGATATAGAATGATGAAGATGATTGTGGTTGAATCTGCTTCGTTATTGAGTATGTTCTTATTTGATTCATGCAGATCGAGGTTACTACTCGGTGGAGACTGTTTCACTTCTAGTGGCGTTGAAAGTTCGTTATAGAGATAGGATTACGATTCTTAGAGGAAACCATGAGAGCAGACAAATAACTCAAGTGTGAGATTTCGTTTCTTTACCTTTCAACTCCATTGCAACTAGAAAGTTAATTTTGTTACCTTATTAGGTTGTCAATATAGAATAAATATTTTCTTGTGTTTTGTGGTAATTAACATCCCAACCACTTGCCTCATACAATTGATAACATGGCAAGATTTATGACATATCAATGTAAGTCCATATCAACCAAGATGAATAATAAGAATATGTCACAACTCACAAGCTTTGCTTCCATTTAACATGCTATGGTTAGTGTTGCTGCAAATTGTGATTTGTCTTGCACAAATTCTCTTCTTGAATATGGAAGTGTACAGGAAGTAAGTGTGCTTCTAAAATGATCTTCAAAGTTTGAACAATGCAAGGAATTCCCTGACTTTCAGGTATGGATTTTATGACGAGTGCTTGAGGAAGTATGGAAATGCCAATGTGTGGAAACATTTTACTGACCTTTTCGATTATCTCCCCCTCACTGCCCTTATTGAAAGCCAGGTATGCAAAATCACCCACCTTCCTTCCCATATTTAACTTGCATTTACTTATTATGAATATGAAGTTATGAACTATGATTGCAGGTTTTTTGTCTGCATGGTGGGTTGTCTCCTTCTTTAGATACACTTGATAACATTCGTGCTTTAGATCGCATACAAGAGGTCAGTTAGTATATAAAGTATAAACCTTATCAGAACATAAAGAGGGTTAAAAAAAGTTAAAAATTTGTAATGTTACTATTTCAGGTTCCTCATGAAGGGCCAATGTGTGATCTTTTGTGGTCTGACCCTGATGACCGATGTGGTTGGGGAATCTCTCCTCGTGGGGCCGGGTACACTTTTGGACAAGATATAGCTGCACAATTTAACCACACAAATGGCCTCACTCTTATTTCTAGAGCTCATCAGCTTGTCATGGAAGGTTACAATTGGTCTCAGGTTCGTTTGCAAACATTAAACATTTATAACAATATACTCTCTAAAAAACTAACTTTTTTTTTTTTTTTTTTTTTTTTTTTTTTGTTTCAGGAAAATAATGTTGTAACTGTATTCAGTGCACCAAACTATTGCTACAGATGCGGAAACATGGCTGCAATACTTGAAATTGGAGAAAAGATGGACCAAAACTTCTTACAGTTTGACCCTGCCCCTCGCCAGGTGGAGCCCGACACTGCACGCAGAACCCCGGATTACTTCTTGTAAATTGTTTTTGTGATTTCAAGACAAAATCAAACCATTGTTTGCTCCTTTTTCCATTTCAGATTTTTTTTTTCTATCAAAAATCAAAAACTGGAGAGATTATTAATTTATTTATGTGTTTTGTCATGTCCTGAGCTTTCGAAGATTTTGAGCTATCTCTGTAAGAAGGTCAGCTCTTTCATCACCCTTTTGGAGTGCCATTCCAGTGTGCTTCAGATATCCACTATCTGATTCCATCACATTCATTCTTTCCTTAATCAAAGACATCTCTCTTTCCAAGCTCGCTTTCTTTTCTTCTTCTGTTAATCAAAATTACAAAATTAGCAATATAATTTATAAAAGATTGGTTTTAGTGTTAAAATACACATATACCTATATCTTTGTCATAACCAACACCTGTATCATCTGTATTTGAATGTATAAGATTTTCCAAGTTATTCAACATCCCAGAAAGCTGAAATCTCTCACTTTCAAAATCATCACGATCACGAGCAAATCTCTCGATATCTTCCTTGTTAATTTCTCCAAATTTCTCTTTATAAATCTGAAGCTCCTTTTCCATCATTGTGATATCTTTCTCCTTCTGAATAAGCATATCCTTAAGTATCTGAATGGCTTCTTGATCATATTCTGCTTGTTCTTCCATCATTCTCTGATACTGCAACGCCTCCATTTCAATTGAAGCTTTCTCAGTTTGCAATCGAGTAATCATGGCCATGGAATTATTAGCTGCAACAGCTGAAGCGCTTCGTTCTTCGTTAAGTTCTTGATATAAATCCGTGAGTATTTTTCTGTCTGCACGGACTTGTTTTTTGAGGTGATGAACAATGGAAATGGAATCCCCTTCTCCGGGTCCCTCATCATCGGAGAGGAAATCGAGTTTTTCTAATGGAAGTTTTTTGGGTAGTAGTTTGTTGGCGAATCTTGGACTGTTGACAATAACTTCCGCAAGTGGGACCCCGAAGAACTTGTTTCCTTTTGGGGTTTTCAAAGATTCATCATTTAGTTCATCAGAATCGGGTAATAGTGGATTTGTTGCGGATTTCATCTCCTCTTTACCTACTACAAACATCATATAGATAAGATCCATAACTTAAAATATTAGACCATAAAAGGAACTCACCTTTAGACTCCGTATTCAATCCTTTGTTATCTTTAGCAACATCCGCTTCATTAACCGATGTAAAATTAGGCAGTGCATACCTAACATGAGGCAATTCCATATTCTTGGCATCATCATTCCGCCATCCCATTGGTGTCAAAGGCGCTCTAGGGGTCAAAACAGACGTCCCGTGTAAATGCGCAGGTGTCCTAACAAAAGCTTTTGAAGGAGTCCTTGTAGTAAAAGGCTCACCACAACAACAACACTTGCTCATCATCTCACCATCCTTACCACTACCACCATTATTCCCATTCGTCGCTTTTGTTTTCACTGGTTTCAGATTCTTCGGTGTTGACATATTGTTGTCATCGTCTTTTTGTTGATCCTTAGGGGCAACCGTGTCTTTTTGCTCAACGGGTTTCTTGATCTCATCAAAGTCTGCTTCTTTATCTGTTGCGAATGAGAGGAGACACGCTTCACACATGTTTCGGATATCAGATAATTTTCGATGGACGTGACAATAGGCTAAGGAGGAGATGTCTTTTTTGTGGGATTCACATATGGAGTTGTTGTAGTAGGTGCTAGGGTTGGTGCCCACGAGGGATTGATCGATTCGTGTGCACAGAACGCACGGTGGGTCCAGTTCGAACATCATGGCAAATTTATTGGACATAAATGCGAGAAACCGGTCGATGAAAAGGGAGGCTATTAGTAACCATTCGAGCATGGCTCCTACCACGAAATGTGGGAATTCACCTAGTTCTTCCTCCACGAACATCCGGAATGTTCTTTTTGATACTGACATTTTCGCGTAAAAAAACAAATACAAACCTAATTGATGGAAAAATGGTGAAATGGTGAAATGAACAATTGTTAAGAAAGTAATGAGAATATGAGATCGACTAGTTTCTCTAGATTTTTTAGCTAGAGAGAAGGTATGTTTGTGTGATACTAAATTAACAAGGTTACTTTGAAGTGATTAGTGACTAAAAGACATTCCCAATGTTTTAGGTTAGTTGAATGTTTTTACCTAAATTAATGGTTAACCATGCAATTTTCGGAGTTTCTCTAAAATATGGGTTTATTTTCAAAAAGATTTGTAAAATTTGGATAGTTACAATTTCCTTGTAAGAATTAGTCTTCTTTGACCAAAAAAAAAAGGAAAAAGAAAAGAATGATGTGTAAAAAATGGGTCTCACAAAAATTTCTTTTATGTCCTTGTAAATTATAAAATATTTTCTTACATAATTTCCTTATTTAAAAACACGTCGATATCTTTAATGTGATTCCAATATTGATGGAAATTCTAATACCAATGTTAAATATGATACATAATTTTGGTCATGTAATTTTAACGATATACACATATACACATAAATATAATCAGGGTATAAAATGAAATTAAGAAAGTGAGGTTGTAAAAAGGATTTTGTTTCAACATACAAAATAAAATATGTAAACAAGTGGTGACTGGTGAGAACCGTTTCCTTTTTTGTGACAAACACCCATTTTACACGGCAATTTGCAACAGATCCATTTTTGTGAAAATAACCAAATCAACAGAAAAGCAAATTCCGACGTCGTTTCTATGCATCCTTTGTTAGGTCGCAAGAAATAATGTACATAACCATATCCATATAATTATAAATATCACATTTTTTTTATTTTTTATTTTTTATATAATGACTTGGTATCTCATTTAATAAAAGTTAGAGTTTTAGCTAATTAACCAGAGAAAAAGACATAACATCTACAAAAGTAAATTAATAAAGCAAATGTTCAATCGATATTTATTTTGTTAGCTAAAAGTAAATATAAAACGTCAGTAGCTATCACGGATCTTTCAATTAGTCGTCAATGGCACACTACTTGAAGTCTTGTGTCCCTGCACCTGAAAATGTAACCATTTATTTTCAAAAATCAAAATCTATTGACCAACATTGTTTATAAATAATACACATTAGTTAATTGCAATTAATTGTGTAAATAATATAGCAATTATTATTAAATTTCAAAACAGTTTAATAAACTCTTTTACGTACCTTTATCAAACAAGCAGGGATTTTGATTAAACCATGAAGTAAAATATCAACCTTCTCCAGTATGTGTTCTGGAACTGGTGTAATCAAACACATAATCTTTCTTGACATGTCTACCTCTGTCACAATCCCTGAATCCATAATGAACAATTTTAGCACTATTTATTAATTATTAATGAAAATCAAATATATAAAGTATCATACCAAGGCCAACACAGCAGGGTGAATTTTGACGACTTAAAGAGCTATCAGCCAATGCGACAATACTGCAATTTGATTTGTAGAATGCTTCCATATCCTAAAAATCCCAACTATGAGTAATTCAAGAAAATGGAAGGATTACATGAACGAAAACTGTTTATCCAGTTTCAAGATTGTTAATTCACCTGGGAATGTAGTTGCTTGATTGTTACAGAGGACATGAGAATTTCATAAGGAGCGTGTACAGCTAATGCATGATCAAGCTCCTGGATTGTGGTTAAACTCATGTTAATTGGGAAGCATTTTCTGAAATAAGCCAGCAAACGAAGATCACGAAGAAGCCGTGCGTCATCCTGTGATTGCACCCTGGATAAACATAAACAATCTCATTTTCATATGGTCATGTTTTGATTATTAGAAATAGAAATAGAAATATGAAATATGCCTACGATTTCTTTGAGGAATCCTGGCGATTTGAATTGATATCAATTAGGGTTACTTCGTGTGAAGCCGGATCTGGTAACCAAAATGCTCCAGTTGGTAAGTTCTTAGTTTCAGTAAGGACATGGACTTTGATCACTTGCGTAGGAGCAATATGTTTTAGCATGTTCATGAGTAGATTAAGTCCATAACCTTCTACCCAACCAGGAGTATTGACAACCAGGGGAACACCAATTTTGAGATGTTCACCCCTGATGGTTTGGTGATAGAAATCATACAGTTCGTGTATGTATTTCAGATACGTCTGTGGATCCTTTCTTGGGGATATATCACCAAAGAAGAAGCATCTGCAGAGGTTTAGAACATGTAAAGAACGTCGTTAAAGTTAAAACAGGACAACGGTTTACGATTATATAACTAGAGAAAAATGGGGAGTCTCGAATGCATTGAAGATAAATACCTCTCAGGCGTTTTCAAGCATGGAATCGCCAGATCTGGAATTAAGAAAGAGACAAGCCGTTAATGCCGATTCAATGCACAATTCAGATGTGTAGAATGTAGATTATCATTCAGTTTAAGTAATCAAATCACAGAAATATGAAAGAATTGATGAAAACCTGGAGTTATCTTGTCAGCCAGAGTAAGTGATAAGCATCCTGGAGGTGTAAATTCAGCTTGACCTACGTCTGTATCCAAGTAAGCGACTCTCCTGTATCTGTATGAACAAATATGGAAACAGATTAAACAGTATATACATATAGCTTTAAAGAAATATCTAATCTCATCCAAATGAGTATGATTGTAAGAGTATACCGTTGGATAAGAACATTGAGAAGATGACGAGAGAAGGTTGTTTTGCCGCTGTTTGGAGGGCCGCAGATGACGCAAATCGGAGGCGGACAAGTGATTGAATCATAAGCAACGACTTCCGCTGCTTCCTCCCACTCTTCCGGTATGAATACTTGAGCCTCATCGGCTAATTTTTCCGGTGATGAATCGATCGCCATTAACGTTGCTTCCTCTTTCTGTGTGTGTGTTTGTGTGTGTATGGTTTTATGAGAGAGAGATAGATAGAGGGAGAAACGCTTTTTATGTGAGAGAATATATGTTCAGAAGCTCAGAGCAGCAGTACATTCTGGTATACATGCCATGTTGGCAGTTTCCCTCAAACATTTTTTGACTCTGTTTATTTATATGCAACCATCAGAAACTTCGTCCAAGCTATCGCAAAATTGGCAAAAGTTGTATACCCTGCAAAAATTTTGTAAGTTGATTCGACTTCCAATTTGGATCATCTTTTCAGTCTTATTAATTACAGTTGTCCTATTTACAACAAGTATTTAAAATTTAAC